TTGCAGCAATCCTCCTGCCTCAGCCTCCTAAGTGCTGGGATTACACCCCTAGCCTAAAAATATATTGTGATAAAATAATTTACAGAATAAGGGAAATTTTAACCATTCACAATTTTCTACTAGGTTTATGATTGCTAAGCCTCGATGGTCAGGGTTATTTTTAATTTTTTTTTTTGGTAGGGAGGACAAGGTCTCACGATGTAGTTCAGGCTGGCCTTGAACTCATTATATAGCCCAGGCTGGCTTTGAACTCCCAGTGATTCTCCTGCCTCAGCTTCTAAAGGGCTGAGATTACAGGTGTACACCACCACGCGTGGCAGGGTTACTTTTAATTTTAAAATACGCATGTTATTACTTATATAATAACTTTTTATAAAAAGTAATTTTTGGCTGTGCATGGTAGCATATGCCTGTGATCCCAGCATTCGGGAGGCTGAGGCAAGAGGAACGCTGCAAGTTCTAGGCCAGCCTGGGCTACAGAGTGAGTTCCACTGCCAGCCTGGACTGCACAGTGAGTTCCACTGCCATAGCAAGACCCTGCCTCAAAAAACAAAAACAAAAAATAATACAATAAAATTTTAAACTATTTACAGAAAAAATATTCAACTTTATAATTTATCCTAAATTTCGTTATGATTTTGATTAGTGCAATCCTAATCAGTATCATCTATCTGGCGGTCTGTCTTTTTTCTATTTAACTTTATATATAAAAAGGAATATTTACTTATGCATTTATTTAGAAACATATATCATGTTGCTAGAATTATTTAATTATTTTGTTGTTTAATCATTTTCTTACGACAGTACATTGTTGGAAAACATGTGGCTTACTATTTTGTTTTATTTTTATGAATAGTGGTATTAAAATTTTTTCTACAACTTCACCCTTCTCCCCATTGGGGCACATCATACTTTTAAAAGAGAAATCGTAGTTTGCTGGTTCTCACAGTTTTCACTAAATACTGTTACAGGCAGCTGAGTTAGATAAAAATATTATAGGCAGTCAGACAGGGCCAGGCCACTGAAGGTGCCAACATAAAAAGACAAGATACCTTGCAAAGAGAGATATATTTGCTGTGGGCCAGACCTCAAGACAAACGACTAAACAAATGCACCCACATATCTCCCTAGGTATGGGCATCAGGGATTGCTAGTCTAAATAGGTAGCAATCACCTTGAAAAAGCCAGGAAGAGTCACTAGCCCAACCCCGTACAGGAAAAGCCCGTTCTGTATTCATGACCGCTTGCTACATGGCTCGCTTCCCCATTTGATCCCAATTTAATCAATTTTACCTGAACAATTATACTTGTAGTCTTATTGGTTGGCCATAGTTTTGTCCCACCTCATAATTTCCCATTTTCTCCCTATCTTGTGAGTTTTGCCCTATAAAGTCCTGGGAAGGACAAGGACCTTGGCAACCCATTCGGGCCCCCTTCTAGCCCTCTCTTAGACAGAAGCTTTCTTTCCCTCAATAAATATATTCTGCTCTTAACCTCTGTTGTTCCTAAAATTCATTCTTCAATATTAGAGAACACAAACTCGTCCGAGATATCGTTCAGGTTGGGAGTTTCTATTTTCGTATATCAATACTACAAGACTAGTATTAGGCAACAGTGTGTAAAGCCGGGTGTGGTGACTACGCCTGTAATTCCAGCACAGGATTGTTGTGAGTTCGAGACCAGCCTGGGCTGCAAAGTGAGCTCAAGGCCATCCTGAACTCATAAGGAGGCCCTGTCTCAAAAAGACATAAAAAAAATGTGTGTACCTTGCCCTAACGCGATAACAATGAAAACACCAATGCATAAGGTTATCCTGCACACGCTGTTAAGTTGAATGTCTTGTTTTGGTTTGTTTTGTCTTTTTGAGACAGAGTCTAGCTATGCAATTCAGGCTGGCCTTGAGCTCACTTTGCAGCCCAGACTGGCCTCGAATCTCCTGCCTCAGTCTCCCAAGTGCTGGGATTGCAGGTGTGCACCACCACACGTGGCTATGACCTTCTTTTTTATGTTATGATACCACAAGCAACCCTGGACTACCACTTTCAAATCTTCCCTCACGCCCCTCCACGTGGCAAACCTTTTAGAGCTTTCAATGACAAACAGCCAGTGGGGCACGCATTCCACTGGTTTGCCACCTCGCGCGCAGGGACTGGGTCCAAAATCTTCACACTGAACTACACCCCAGCCTTTTTTTTTTTTTTTTTTTTTTTGCATTTGAACTTGAGGTCCTCCGGCATCCGCCTCCAGAATGCTGGGGATAGAGATGTGTGCCACACACCCGGCTCAACTGCCTATCTCTTGCGATCACTACTTTAAAATATGAATCTTATTTACTCTTTTTTTTGGGGGGGGGGTTACTGAGGTCAATCTCAGCCCGTCCGCGTCGTACACCGTTATTTGTTTACACTGTGGCCCTCGGGAGTTTTGCTTGGCTCGTTCCTACGACCCTGCAGCAGGGAGCCACGTCCCCGCCTCCGCAGCCCTGAGGACGATCGGAACTTCACCCCGCTCGCAGCAGCGTTGCGCGCGGCTCTGGGCTGCGGTTTCCGTGTCCCAGACCGACCCTCCGCCCGCCCCAAAGCCGACACTGCCCAGGGCGCGCGGGGCTACCGGGGACGCCCGGGGAGCGCTCCACCGCTACCCCAAGGCCAGCGCCTTGCTCGGCAGAACTTTCTGGGGCTGTTCGGTTGGGTTTGGGACACGGTCTCGCCGCTGCCCGGCGGCAGGACGGGGACGAGGCGCCGCGATCTCCCGCGTGCGCCAGCTCCGAGCGAAGCCGGGCCGCGATCCCGGGTCCCCGGGCGGAGGGAGGACTCGACACACACCCCGCGCCCGGGGCTGGGCTCGCGGAGAGGACTCCGCGCAAGGGGTGCGGCCCCACGTGACCGCGTACTGCGCCACGTGACGCGCGCCGGCCCGCGCCTCCCCTCAGACCCGCCCCCTGCTGTCAGCCCGGGCTCAACAACGCGGACGGGAGCAAGGGAGGCTGGGACGGCATGCAGAGCCCCCGAGAGCCGACATGGGTTACCGGGTAGAGGTAGAGCACTGCTCCCACCAACGCCAGCAAGAAGGTCACGGCGAAGATGGCAAAGTCCAACATGGTTGCTCGCCCAGGAGCCACGTCTCGGATCCTCTGTTCTGGCAGCAGCAGCCCAGCCTGGCGGGACAGGGGAATGGGCTGTGGGCGGGGCAGCCGTTGGAACAGCGGACCAATAGGCGAGCGGGGGCGTGGCCAGGACTGTGACTGGGTGGGAGGAGAAAGCAATGGATCTCCGAGGAGCCACGAAAGCCAAGATCCAGGGCCCAAGCTTATACAGACCCCCGCCTGGGGAATCCAACGCCTGGAACTTTTCCCAGTGTATTTAAAATGAAAACTTGTAAACAGTGATTCTCAAAGTGTAGTGCTAAGACTAGTGCCTCCTTGTCACCTGGTAAAAATGTAGAGTTAGAAATGCAGACAGCGGCCGGGCATGGTGGTGCACGCCTGTAATCCCAGCACTCAGGAGGCTGAGGCAGGAGGATTGTTGTGAGTTCGAGACCAGCCTGGGCTACAAAGTGAGCTCAAGGCTAACCTG